GCGCTGTCATGGCATTTGGACTTCAGCACGTCAGGTCCTCCTGAGGACTTCGGCCCGCATGAAGAAAGCGGCTGATCGGCATCGCCGTCCTGCTCCTGTTTACAGACCGGGTCAGAAAGTGTGGTTATCCCCCAGAGACTTGCCCCTGAACGTAGCCTCTAGGAAGCTGGTACCAAGATCTGTAGGCCCATTCACTGTGTCAAAGTGTATTAACCCTGTGTTTGTTCGCTTGCGCCTGCCAAGGTCACTAGGGTCCATCCAACGTTCCATGTAAGCAAACTCAAGCCAGTCAAGGAAAGCAAGATGGTTCCCGCTTCCAAGCCTCCCCCTCCTCCCAGGATCATTGACGGAGGTCTGGTCTACACCGTCAAGCGTCTGCTGAATGTCAGAAAACGTGGAAGGGGTCAGCAGTTTTTAGTGGACTGGGAGGGTTATGGACCGGAAGAGCAGGAGTGGATCCCATGATCTAGCTTCATAGTGGACCAGGACCTGATAAAGGATTTTTACAAGAGCCATCCTGAACTCTCTGGGCCGTCCGGAGCCGTCCGTAAAGGAGGGGGTACTGTGGTGTCTCTACATTTATGTTAAGTTAATTTATTTAGTTCAGTCCTTTTGTCTTTTGCTTTGTCTTGTGAATTCCTGTTTTATTTTGTAGTAACCTTTCCCTCTTGTTTCAGAGCCATTCCTGCCCTTGTGTGTGTTTTCCTCCAGTGTGATTGTCAGCCCCTCCCTTAATTGTTGCCACCTGTGTCCCCTTACCTAGTGTGTATATATAGTCTGCGTCTCCCTTTGTCCTGTCCCAGTTCGTCTTGTCTCGTCAAGCCTGCCAGTCATTCCTTGACCTTGTTGAGTATGTTTTTTGATGGATTATTTTTGTTTCATTTTTGATGGTCCGTGTAGATGTTTTTGTTTGGAGTTTTGGATCTTATAATTTCTCAGTTTTTCCTCCTAGTCAGCGTTTTGTGTTTTTGCCTTCATTAAAGACCTTGTTAATCCTGACCTGTTTCTGGTGTTGTGCGTTTGGGTCCTGAGTCTTGTGATTAACACTTGCTTTACTCTTTGAAAGTCAACACATGAATGCATTGTAATAAATGGTTTGGCTGCATTAAATATTACACATCTGCCGTAGTTCTTTATTTATCTACAGACATCGGGCCTCAGAATAGACCGGAAACTATTCTTTTACCGTTCTGTTTTAATTTCACAATAAAGTTAGTAGTAATAATTTGTTTTGATATTATTGTTTTTTATTAACTACTAGACCGCTGGTTCATGTACCATGGTCCATGGACCATCTTTTCAGTGTTTCTGTGGGGTTTTTCCATCGCTTTTGTGTTACAAATATCAAAACAATAACAAAACATATCCGTCGTAAACTAAACCAGAATCAGCAGTATATTTTATTTTGTTAACACTGTAAACTTGACAGCTTTTTAACCCAAACTACCTACTGGTTAAAGCACGTTATTACACGTTTAGAGTAATTGCAATGCAGGAAGATTGTGTTGCTTTTTAATAACTGTTTTAAAATGCCTTTTTCTTAATGTCTTTCATTTTTGTAAAGCACTTTTGAATGTGTTATATTTCAACTTTCCTGCAATGTTAACTATGTTGAAGCACTTATTTTAACCGATATTATACATATGTCTTATAATATGTATGTAGATAGAATAAGAAATGTGCAGAATACGATGGTGGAAGTATACACACATATTGATAGATGTCTTGTAATGCACTGTTGAGGAACCTGTGACCCAAGTTTGTCATTCATTGCATAACTACACCGTAGTTGTGTATATGATATGTCAATAAAACTTAGAAAATCTTGAAAGGGATGTGCAAAATAGTCATTATATACAGTCTTTAATGAACGATTAGAGAATAACGAGTAATGAATATGCTTTATAGAGATCTACAGATAGATATTTAGTCTTCTCAAGCACCAACTATCAAATATCTCTCCTGATTGTTGGCACTTGACAATCACCTTCACTGAGTTTTACTCAGGTGTAACTAAAGTCTGATTTAAGGGTTGTTTATATTTCACATCATTAATCCAAATCTGTAAAGTAACTAAAATAAATGTAGTGGAGTAAAACTACCAGGTTAACCTTAAAGAAAGCCCTCAGGATTATAAAAGACCCCCATCACCCCAGCCGCAAACTGTTCTGTCTGCTGCCGTCTGGCACCGCAGCATCCGGACTAAAACCACCGGACTCAGGGACAGTTTCATCCCACAGGCCAGAAGACTATTAAACACCTGAACTTTGAAACAACATCCATAACATTCATCTGGCTGCTACTTAGAAATCATTTATCTATTATATCATATATTCCTTGCACTATTTTTTCTGTTTTATTGTGTTGCACTGTTGGAGGAGCCTGTGACCTAAGGGGGGGGGGGGGGGGTAGGACACGTTCGATTCCTGTTTTGGTTAGTGTGCCGTTGATGGGTTTCATTCCATTTCAAAGTGCTGTTTGACGCTGGGCGTAAACTGAGCGCACTGCCACTCCAACATCCAATCACAGAGCTTGAGGACTAATCACGGGGTTTGTCAAGCAAAGCACATGTTGTAGTCCCAAACGATAGCTGAGGATTCTGGGTAGTGTAGTGTCTTCTGCCATCCTAAACTCCGAAAAAATATTTGTTTGTAATATTGGCCTACAATAAAGGGGACATGATCAAATAGGAATATAATTACAACGACCAAGGTGAGCCATGTTGCAGTTTTTAGCTACCTAGCGCCACATGTTTTGATGTCTGTTCTCTGATTGGCTGGCGCTTCCGTCAACGCTTGAAAAGATTAACTTTTCTCAACTTTCGAAGCGAGCAACGGAGGCAAAGCGACGCGACGGAACCACAATGCAGTTCGGCAAAGCATGACGTAACCCAGAGGTCGCGTTAACCGAATATGTTCCGTCGATGACGGATTTTTTTAACAATGACGGACAAATCTGAAAGCAGTCCGTCATTTTGACAGATTAGAACAAACTCGGAACAGCGCCAAAGTTTCCCCGCAGCGAGGCTCCGGTTTTATGCCGTGTTATGCATGCCCTCCAAAAAGGAAATTATACCGTCTCCAAATCTAACTGTGCCGTACAAATCACTGAAATGTCTGTGAGTTTTGGCTTTACGCTGTGCACGCTCCTGCGAGGTGCAGCAGCCATGCATAACACGGCGCATGTGAACTGCCCCCCCCCCCCCCACGTTGACAGTACACGAGCATGCTTCCCCCCCCCCCCCCTCGTCAGAGTTGTGTAAAGGCGACGGGTTATTCTGGATTTTGACGGAAGTTTTACGATCCTGTCCGTCAAAATGACGGGCAGCGAAAAAGTCTAGCGCAACCTCTGACGTCACCCCATTCAAAGTGAATGGGAAGCGTCTCCGTTGCAGCACGCAACGGAACCGCGTGGACGTACCGTTAAAGACAGATGTATTGGGACTTTAACCGTCTTTATTTTGACAAAGAATTGCAGCTAAAATTGACTGCAAAATAACTATTATGAAACAAACAAAATAACGCCGCTATAAAAAAGGTCAGTACTAAAATGCTGTTTCAAATTCAGGTTGTTTTTTTAAAGAACCTGAACTTAACTGCAGCATTTCTTTTGTCTCTCAGTACAGCAGAAAGGATGGCCCTCACTCCCCTTGTTAACATGTCTGGGCCTCACATTAGTACATTTACAGGAATGTGTGTGTGTGTCGATTCATCTGCCTGTCTACAGTGGGATAGTGTTATAGTCAGGCAGTTTGACCTCTCACATGCTGTAAATGTAGTGTTACAAAGGTGTGAGTTTATTGGAGTAAAGGAATGTTTGTCCACAGAGCAGAGAGCTGCTCCTCTCCCTCGGCCCAGCTGCTGCTCAGTATTCCTGTCACACATATGTCACACATACCTTTGTGTCTGTGATGAAAAAGGGGAAGAGAGGTTAGCATCATAGTTAACACTCATAGCTCTCAAATTCGGCAAAAAAGTGCTCATTTCAAGTTCTTTTTTTTATGTGCACATTTCGTCCTTGGGCAAGATACTTAATCCCAAATTGCTTCTGATAGCGAGCAGTGTGTGAGTGTATTTGAATGTGTTAGTCTCCTGAGCAGGTGGCAGCTTTTATGGCAGCCTCTGTCTCTGTATTAATGTATGTGAAGGTGCTTTGAGGAGTCTTAAAGACTGGGAAAACAATATATAAATGGACTATACATCTACTATCAGTTTGGCACTATAAAAAAAGGAAATAAACATCCATGTACCATACAGTGTGTGTAAAGTGACTTTATGATGATGCCCTAAAATAGTTTGTTTGTTTGTCTTCTGCTCTTGTCAGTCAGAGGAACTTGCCAACATCCAGTGTCAATGCAGGTAGATGTCTGCCCACAAATGTAGCAAACTGTAGAAACTCTGGTTTGCATCTCACCATAGAACTGTACTTGTTTGCCAATGGCAACCCTCAACTCTTTTCTTCTTTAGCAAGAAACACCCCAAGTATAATTAAATGTTTAACTAAATCGCCCTATTTAAAAAAATCCTGACACATTGGTTGTTTTTAACCTGTTTCTGACTGCTCATATGCCTTTACCCTGGACTTTATTGTGTCCCTACACTGTAAAAAAAAAAAACCGTTGTTTTTAACGGTAAAAACCTGGCAGCTTTGTTGCCAGAATAATGATGTAAAAAATACGGTAAACTGTAAACAACTTTACAGAACAACGTGTATATTTTACAGTTTAAAACTGTTGTAATTTACATTTTAAATCTGTAATTTCAACAGCCCTTTTCTGCTGAATTAGCATGATCACGTTGCTAAACTCATTATTTCAGTAAGATTTACATGCAGTTGTTGTATATTGTACATTGAATCCCATTCAATTTTACAGAAACATACCAAACAAATAACACTGTTTAACTGGAAAAGCATCAGTGTAATGCGGTGTTTTACGGTGAAAGCAACATCTAAATACTGCAATTTAAATTGTCTGTAAAACCTATTTATTACAATTAAAATGCAGAAAAAACTGTTCTATGAATATCAATCTCAAATATATAGTATAAAACCGCCTGTAAGGATTATTGCTCAGTGGAAAAAAAATGTTTTTCCTATACATTAGTCAGATTGAAAGATTTCATTTAAACTACACTGCCTTCGTATATATGTTTGACTATTACCAGAAATGTGAAGAATGTAATCCAGGGCACACAGATTAAGCACTTAACATTTAAAATGCAAAGCTAGATAAACCTCAAGAGCCACTGTATTAAAAGTTGAACAAATTCCAACAAGAACTTGCCTTTCCAAGAATTTATTATATATATATATATATATATATATATATATATATATATATATATATATATATAAATAATAGCAGTGATCAAAAACATCTGTCATTTCTCAACATACATATTGGTAAAACATACAAACTAAGGCTGCACAATAAACAAACAGCTCACATTGTCCAGGAAATTCAAGCTGAACAAAGTTGAGAGGTTACTTACATCACATCAAATGATTTATGGGAAATAATGTTTTTAAATATGTTAGTACTTTATATGTCTCATCTCTTATAGTGGGCACCTGTATAATATAATACTCGACTGTCACAGCCACAGACTGAGCTGTAAATTAGCCAAAATAAGGGATTGTTTTAGTTGAATACATGTTCATTGCTAAAGGAAGTGTGTACGTGATGAAGCTACAGTTGCAAAACACATGTGAGTGTGTGTCTAAGTGAGATAGGTGAAGAGGTAGGGTCAGCAGAGACCCTTCACTTCAGAAGCAAAAACCCAAGTGGAAAACAAAACATGTCAACATTGTTACACTCAACAGTAATGTCCTGAGCTTTTACATCCACATAAGCCAAATGAAGATTGTTCAAGCAACTTCACTTTGTAACAGCAAACCGCAAGAGTGGCTACAATGACCTTAAAAGAATAGTTTGACATTTTGAGTGTTACATATTGCATTTTTTAAAATTAGTTAAAAGAACATTAAAAAAAGGCACTTAAAACTACGATTTAAACAATCAAACAAACTGTAACTTGGGCACATCGCCACATGCCATTGATCTTACTGTCCATATTCAGACATCACACCACTCATGGTCCGAAAGTTCCTGTATCAAGGTGAGGACTCTCGGGTTCACCTGAAGACGGGATGCGCGTGTCTTCTCCACTTTGGTGCCCTTCTCTGGGTTGATGGAGAAAAAACACCTTCAAATAAAAATACAAACAAACAGAATTAATAATAAAATAGCTTGCCTAACAACAAAAAACTTCACATCAAGCCATAAATGACAATTATCTTAACCCCCAATTCACTGAAGCAGCTGCTTTAGATTTGTTGCAGTTTAATAAAAGAAATTGTTGGATAAAGCCAATCACAAAAAACACATACCTCTGGACAAACTCCAGGGTGGATGCCAGCTCTGACGGGTAGGCGATGTTGAAGCAATAATAGCTCCCAAACATCATGGACAGGGCAGAAACCAAGGAGGGGATGTTGTCCTGTACTATGTTTCGATCCACACTCAGCATGAATCGCCTTGAAGAATAGCATGATCGTCCTAAAAAAGAAGAAAAACACAATTCTAACTAAATTAAAACAAGACGTGTCTTCCTGAAACATTTCACAAAACAATTTTAGCACACATGTTATTACATTTTAAGGTCTGTTAAATTGCTCACATACATTTTTTTATTGATGGTATGTGTATTTGCAGGTTATGGGGAGATAAATGTAATGTCAATTTGACTTGCTTTTAGGGGATAGTTCATATTGTTTGAAGAGGGGTTGTAGGAGCTACAGTTTGGAGAAACAGAGAGGAGAACCAGCACAGCTAAGCAATGCACTGCTGTGGACATACACTGAACAAAAATATAAATGCAACACTTTTGTTTTTGCTCCCATTTATCATGAGATGAACTCAAAGATCTAAAACATTTTCTATAAACACAAAATAACCATTTCGCTCAAATATTGTTCACAAATCTGAAAAAATCTGTGATAGTGAGCACTTCTCCTTTGCCGAGATAATCCATCCCACCTCACAGGTGTGGCATATCAAGATGCTGATTAGACAGCATGATTATTGCACAGGTGTGCCTTAGGCTGGCGTTAACGTTGACGGCGTTGACGTTAACACGACTGCCCGTTAAGTTTGAACCCGCTCAGATGTAGCTTCAAACCCCCCGCTCAGTAGACGTTATAACTATGACTGCAAAATACACTCAATCACAAACAGAAGCTAGTATTGTCCTGACAACACACCGTTGTTTGCTTGCAGTTCGCGCCAACACATTTGAAAAACACTGGGGTTCCTATGCAATGCAGAACATAACCCCTCGTCTGTAGCGTTTTGCTGCAAAATGCAATAAATCACAAACAGAAGCTAGTATTGTCCTGACAACACACAGTGTTATAATTGAAGTTTGAAGAAAATAAACGGTTAGCTTACCAGTGCTACAGATGTGATCCTCCGCTCATGTGCACACAGCTCCGTGGTCCGTGGCAGGCAGACTTGAGATAGACTTGGCCGCGCACCGAGCTGTTAACCTGCAAAAAGTGGCTGCTCCCGCGATAATTAAATAGTCCAATAAAATAATAGAAACAAACTCTACTGCTCAGTAGGCGTGTCTCAGTTCAGCGGCCGTTTCCTTCGGAGGCTGCGTTCGTTGACCGCTTGCGTCACTTCCGCCTAGAGGCTGTCCCAATTTTTTTTTAAATACAATAACGTAACGGCCCGTCCACACGTAGTGGCGCGTTCGATTACTGTTTGGGCTGTCTGCCGTGGGCTGCATTCCACTCCAAATAGCCGGGCGGCCCCAGAATCCAAACGCCAGCTGTTCTATGGATTCTCATTTAAATGCCAAGAATATCTCAGTACTGGGTTATTTCCAATTTCAAAATAAACATATGTATTAAACAAATAGAAATAAGAAGTAAGTATATTATAGTATAATCAACAATGAAAAAATATAAAAAAACATGATTTTAACACTGTCATGTTGTAATTTTAACTGTATTGTATTGTTTTATGTATTACAGTTTTTCTGTGTTCAAACCACAGTAATTTGTAAATTATACAATTAAATATCATTATTTTAACATAATTCTTAATGTGAATTTAACAGTTTTGTTTGGTTCAGTACTTTACGAAATATTACTGTAAATTAAACACTGCTTCATTGTTTCTCTATTTACAGTTTTTTGATGACGTGATTTTACAGTTTTTCCCTGTTAATTTCACAGACTTTTTTTACAGTGTATGTTTCTCGAGCTAAGTTATTTATTTGATCAATATAACAAGCTCTAACCTTTAAAAATAAAAGATGAATTCGATTATAGCTGGTATTATGATTATATATATTATATTGGTTTAATACAATAAGAAATCATGAAGATGTGATGCCACAAACCAACATGGGGACTGGCAGTTGATGTACAGGGGTGAACATAGGAGAAAAAACACCATCTGGTAGCACATTATTTCCTCAGGATATACTTTATGTGTTTTCTGTACACCAAGGTCACTCTGAGTCCCTCCTGTCTCTGGAAACAGTGTGTCAGCTTAGAACTGGCCTTCACACAAACACACTCATCACCAAACTGTCAAACAAAAGCATATTGGTGATGTCTCCAATCAGAGATGGGGACTCGAGTCTGTGACTCGGACTCGAGTCGCACTTAAGTCGCACACACAGAGACTTCAGACTTGACTTGGACTCCTGCTCAAAAGACTTCGGACTCGACTTGGACTCGTGTGTTGGGACTCGTGAACAATCATTGTGTTTTCTATTTTTGGCGTATTAAAGGTGGGGTAGGTAAGTTTGAGAAACCGTCTCGAGATCGCTAGAATTTGAAAATACACAACCGGAGAAAATCTGCCACTTCCTCACAGAGCCCCTCCTCCAACACACACGAACGCGCACATGACCAATGAGGGCACGAGATAAGTTTGTGCCCCGATGGAGGCTGACAGGCAGGTAGGCCATCCAGTTACTTTAGCCGGGCCGGCTATCGGGATGTTAAGAGCATTCCATGGAATATAACAAAAAGTGTATCTCGAGCCGGTTTCTCAAACTTACCTACCCCACCTTTAACATTAACATTAACATCATGGTAACACCATGGCGACCGGCGGCACACCTGCAGCTGTACCGCTTGTAATTAGGTTCAACTATAAAAACTTCGAACAAAACGCCGGCGGCACCAACAAAAGGAGCGCACACTGCAAAGTCTGCAATATTAAAATCAAGGATGCTGGTGCAACAACGTCAAATTTCATCAGGCACTTGAAAACTCACCCGGAGAGGTCAGTCACATTAACGCATATGGACGGTTAGCAAACATGTTTAGCTCAGCATCAGCTATGTAATGTTAACTTAGCTTGCTACTAGCTTTGTAACTGAATATTTGAAAAGATGAGTGAATGTTTGCTTGTCACACTTGTTTGCGTTGAGTGGCGTTGACATCCAACTCTTGACATGACATAAAAAAGGTCGGTAACGTTAATCATTACGTTCCGCTGCTACCATCTACTGGCTAACGTTAAACGTAGAAAAATACATAGTTACATACATAAATACATCTGTCGGTTTATAGGCAGGTTACAGGTTTATTGTTGACCACGTAACGTTAATGTTACAGGTTTATCAGGTTACCATTACACTGGGTTTGAGTGAGAGGATAGAGGAATATGTTTATTTATAGTAGACTTAAAAGATGTAATTAGAGACCCAGTGTAATTAAACAATACGGTTGCAGAGGTCAAATTTTAACATTTTTGTCCACTGGCCAAATGGCTAGCCTAGTGAATGTTGAAATGTTACCAGCCACTCAATAGATTGCCATTGTTATTTTTGGCTGGTGCGTGCAACATACAGTACCAGCCACTTGCATGATTTACCAGCAAACGGTGTTAATGGTAGATATCTCTTTTGGAACAAGTCATGTTTTAATATCACCAGTTCAGTATATTTCAGATAATATTGCAGCAATAGTTTTTTAGTTGCAAATGGCACAGAACAAATGTTTACTTTTAAGTACTTTTAACACAGTTTCCCTGCGGGGGATTAATAAAGTATTTGTGATACTGATTTCTGATTCTGAAGTGTTTTGCTTATAAGTTGTTTGCATTTAGCTAAAGTGTGATGTTTTTCCTCATATTGCATTGCGCCTGTTTAAAGTGATCATATAACAAACAACTAATCAGTACTGATACTGTATGCTAATAGATATAGGAGTGATAATAATACAGTAAATGCTTTGAATTTCTTAGATATAGCTGTGCAGTATTCTTAACAGACTGGATAGCAGCAGAAAATAGAAGGCTTATTACAACCAGAAGAGACATGAGACTTTTATTTTTTAGAGACTTGAGACTTGACTTGGACTCGTGACCAAAGACTTGAGACTTGATCAAGTCTCACCCCACAAAGACTTGAGACTTGACTTGGACTCGTGACCAAAGACTTGAGACTTGACTTGGACTTGCAAAAAAAGACTTGTGAACATCTCTGTCTCCAATGCTCCAGTTATATAAGGAGGGAATTACACAAGCCAGGGTTTAATCATCTCCTTGTAGCGTTGGAGGGGAGAGAGGAAATAAAGCATCCATGAATCACTGCTGTGTCATTTTGTCTCAATCAGTTGGGGCTGTTTTTAAAATCAGATGGACAGCAGATGTTACTGTTGCATGCCAAAGCACCATAGATATGGTGCTTTGGCATGCAACAATAACATCTGCTGGTCACCGCTTCATGCTAAGCTGCACATCTGGGGAGGTGAAGTGAACAGTATGGAGGATTATGGGAATGTATTTTATATTTTTTAAATTCCAAAATGTTGACTGTTGACTGATATTAAGGGGATGCTGATATTGTAGCGTAAAACATGCTTAAACAAGAACAGTACTGACTGGAAAAACAATCCTTGAATGCCTTTAGAACAGGGGTGGGGAACATCCGGCCCCCGGGCCGTATACGGCCCGCGAGACAATTTGGTACGGCCCTCGAGGTAATTTATAAACACACGCAAAAAAGAAAAAAATGTAAGAAATCTAGACCGCAAAAGAATGAAACAAGCGAGTGCCTGTTTTTCCTGGGCAAGGCCAGGGTCCTTGAACACAACACGAGCCTAACGTGTCATCACGTGGAATATGTCTCGTCTGACAGGGGTGTAGTTCTGACGGAGAGCACCAGAACGCGGCTCCGGCACTTCAAAAATTGCAGAACCCATAAGGAGCCGTACACATGCCGCAGTTTTTGCGTGGCTGTGTCTTTAGTTGAAAGCCCAGTGGCGATCTGTTCATCTGTCATACTGATCATACAGTCAATAACTTTGTTGTTATTAGCATCTGGTTAGCTAGCTATATGCTAACGAATATAAGAAGCTTTTTCTACAACCAGTGAGGTAAAGGCACATCTTTATATGATCATTATAGTTATAAAAAAATAAGAGAATAAAGTAAACTACTATATAAAATGCTATATGACAGTAAAATAAAAAATAAAAATAATACAGTTTAAAAGGGGAGTGATTTGTAAAATATCCATAAAGAAAAAGAAATCTGCTTGCAGTTCTATTTCATATGGGTGTGGAGAGATGTATCCAAAGATCTCTTAATGTTGCTCTCAAAGTGCACCAGATTGATGCTTTTAACTTCAACATTTAAAAATCCCCCCCTAGAGGTCCCCCACCACTTAAATCATTTCCACATGGATATGAAACTAAATACATTTGCACATATCTTGTGTCCATATCTTTCTGTTTTGGTGGTCATGCCACAACCGTGCACGTGCATGCATACGCGAGTCATGGTGAGATATCTGGATTAAGAGGTTGCTTTTTCTTTGCACAGCATGAAAGAAAGAAGAAATTAATGGGCTGTGATTTTAGTTTTTTAAGCAGAGGTCAATAATTTGTACGGCCCTCGGAGGATGTTGAAAAAATTGAAATGGCCCTTGAGAGGAAAAAGGTTCCCCACCCCTGCTTTAGAACAACATAATTGATGTGGTAACAAGGCTTCACAAAAACAAGGTAGCCACACAGTAAATCATACCTAGCCTTAGCATCTATTTCATGCTAAATGGCAGGGCCGGACTGGGACAATAAGTCAGGCTGGGAATTATACACCCAGCCAGGCCACTACCAGTTTTTTATTTTTGTGCCATTTTGCTGGATTTATTTGTGAATATTTACAGCGATGCTGCCCATAGTGATAGCCCTATAGTTTAAATCCACTACCCAATAATAAACATATGGACATGGGTTACTGTTTAAAAACATTTGCAAATGTATTTAGGAACCTATCCATGTGAACATCTTTTAAGTGGGGGTGGGCCTCAAACCCTCTAGGGGGGTCCGGGGGCATGCTCTCCCGGTAAGATTTGTTTTTAAATGTTGGAGTTAAAAGCATCAATCTGGTGCACTTTGAGGGGAAAATAAAGAGACTAGATCTATGGGAACACCTTTATGAAACAGAACTGTATACATTTAAATAATCATACAATCATAAGAACATGGCCATAACCAATAACATACCATATCCAATATGAACAAAAGATGGAAAGTTGTTTATTTATTTATGTTTGGTTCATTTATAGTTTTGTGTGTGGGCTCCTGAATCAGCCTCACCTGTCTCCCTCCTCTCCCTCCTCTCCCCCTGCTCCTCTTCCTCCTCTCGCTCCTCTCCCTCCTCCT